TAGCTTGCGCGTGGCCTAAGCTACAAGTTCGAGAGAGAGTGCCGACACACCCCCATGTATGATGTTTGTCGTGGATGCAAATTTCTAATAATGCTGCCATGCCCCGCACTGGCTCGTGTGCTGATCGAGCGCGTTTACCCTATTATAAAATTGACTGCTGCATTCCTTTTTTATTGAGAAACGGGTTCATCTAATAGAAACTCTAGAACTCTCCGGACGTCTGATAGTTTCTTAGCACACTAAATATGTATCGTCCGCAAAATAACGGAGCAGCATTCAATGATATTAGTATTATTTTTATCTTCAAGTTTTTCTTACACAGATCCCATGGTTTTAATTTAGTTGTTCAAAGGCTCATGCATCTAGTCTATATGCTGCTCGGTTTCTGATTAAGCTTGTGTTTTTGTTGTAGCGTTGCGCATTTCTTGCATAGCTTGCCCACTAACTCGAAGGCTCATGCTCAATCATGATCAGTCAAATATCTGGCCGCAAAAGATCAGCTTTCCTTCTGTTTAACTTAATATATTTGCAGGCCTATCTAGGCACCTCCATATCTGTGATGAACATCCATGTCCCAAAACCGCCTAAGTAGTCTTTTTTGTATGTTCTGAGATATCCTAGTGATGTCACAGCAAGTGGGCCCATTCTAGTTAACTGTATGGACCCGAACGAACTCTACACGATGGCATCGCCAGGATATTGCTAATCGTCCCAGGGAGACTACTGAATATAATGTTTCACTAACGTTAATTGCCTCCGATTAAAAAAGTGCGGATCTCTGTAAGTCATCCTAGGAGATGGTGTTCCTTACCTCTGGAAACCTTTTAAGTTGCGTTGCTCTTGACGGCCACAGCGGTGGTGGTTCTTGTCTGGTGGGATTGTTGAGTGAGCCGCCCGTGGTTTCCGTAACATCTAGACCAGATACTTCGAAATCGGTTAACTTATCTGCCAAATCAAGCGTTTTCCAGACCGATTCAGTTGGAATAATTAATTTTTAAACCCAAGCTTAATGGAAACTACCGAGACATTTAGCGACTTTTAACCAAAGCTCTCCGTTTCTAGTTTGTCCGTCTTAAGAGCACAAATAATTTATGTTAACCACTCAAATGCATCTTTATTCAGATTATTTTTCTGAATTACTCTCTTCTTTCCTACTTTTTTCCGATAATTCATCCTTGCACCTTTCGCACGTATCCGAATTAAGCTAGATTATATTCATTCTCTGCGATTATTTCTTGTCAAACATCAGAATTAGCAACGAAATTCTACCTATCGGACACCTTCCTAACACCTCACTCAAATTATTAATAGTCATAAGAAGATGGGCATCATTGGTTTCAACAGACAAACTTATTAATACGAGCGTGAAGACCAAAAGTCGTGTGTTACGCGCAGACAGAGTCTTCTCTGCTCTTCAGGGATCATTTCCACTCTAGATTTCAGTCGGTTGGACGCAGATTTACCGTTCCTTCCATCGTGACTACCTATAGTGGATAGTGGCATTAGATGATGAACCACAAAAAATAATCGCCATGATCAAGACATAAAATTATTCCACCACTGCGCGGGTTCTAGTCCACAACAACCTCTCAGAAGTCTTCGCTATTCGGCTTGGCGTTTGACAAGGCTGTGTCCTGTCACCCAACCCCTTCAACTGCCCCAGTGACTGGGTTTTCGGGAAGGTCCTGCAGGAAATTGATGGTACTGAGCTTGCACCCGGACGCCGGTTGACTGACCTTGACTATGCCGATGATATCCCTTTAATAGGTTCAAGCTTTGACGATCTTAAGTTTGTGGTGCTACGGGTGAACAAGGACGCGAAATCAGTCGGTTTGTCCATAAATAAGTGTTTTCATGCTGCATCCCTGCCCAGTAGAAGGCACCTCTCGAGATTAGTGACTGTCACCTTGAAGAAGTAGACATTTTCAAATACCTCGGAGCAAGGTTGCTGCTGAATGGACAGAGTAAGGATGCCATTGTCTCCCGAATTGAGGCAGTTCGACGAGTTTTCTCCAGCCTTCGAAAATGCCTATGGACCCGACGCGATATTTCTATCTGCACAAAGGTCTGTATTTACAATGGATATATACTGTCTGTTCTTCTAAACAGATGCTAATGCTTAGTTATGCGCGTGGAAGGTGAACGAAAACTGGACGTTTTTGATCAGTAAATCTCTCGAAGGAAGTACGTCGACTTCGTCTCAAATGAGACAGTCCGCACTCCTTGCGACAACATCACAAGGATATTCCAGGCAATCCAAGAAAGACGACTGCAGTGGTTTGGACACGTTTTTCGTCGTCAACCTCACCAGCTCAGTGTTACTTCCCTCGACCTGAAACCGCTCCCTAATTGGAAACGCAATCGTTGAGCACTTCTCTACCATTTTTATTATGCACAATTGCAACCGACAGGGCAACAAGCCCCTGGCTCAGGAGGCAGGTTCTGGTTTCGAGTCTCCGAGGTTACAAAAAACAACTGGGGCTGGG